TTGTACTTTATGTATGATACTTTTTTTTTATGTGAAAAAATCGATAAATATGATACATAAATTAGTAAGATATATATAGATTTTGAGATAATAAAAATTAACTCATCGAATCTCAAACTATTATTTAAATTAATAAATATTAATTTACCGATTAAACAATATCTCTATAAAAAAATAAAATTTCAGGGTCCCACCTATATTAATTTATAGAGATTTTACTGTATTGTCATTTTTTTAAAAATTAAATGATAAAAATTTTATTTAATATTTTACGATATATTTCTTATTGTATTGATATGCAAAAAAAATTGTAATTTATTATATTTTTCGTATAATTTTTGAATATTTAAATTTGTTATTTTAAGATATCGAATTAATCTAATTTCATTTTAAAAATTAATCAAATCAAATTTCAAAAATATAATATAAGTTTAAAAGTGGACGGAGGAGTAATTCATCTTCTTCCTATGAACGAAAATTGGACTTTGAGACTCTATTTTTTCTTTATAACAACTGGAAAAAAAATTAAAGAAAATTTTTACTATAAGCTATGCTGCTTCAATTTTTCAGGGTAAAAACTTCAGTTCGTTGATTGTATTTTTCTATACAAGCACGTTTTTTAATGTTGGATACTTTTATATGCCAAAATTTTGCACCATGTGGAAATGTGAACTTTATTTTGGAAAAGGAAAAAAAAATTATTTTTGTGACACATGAATTTAGTTAGTTCATGTGATATTGATGTAAGGAATAAGTATGGCGGAATAACATGTATTTGAGAATAGAAAAAATGAATAGATGATTAATGATAATATATGTATTAAATTAGAATATGGTGCAGTGAATGAGATTGTTTCTATCTTGATTAGAAGTTTTGAATTTGAATTCTTGATAAACAATTTTGGTAGGGAGCGCTCCCCTCCCCCCAATAAAGCCCTACCTAGACTAGTCAGATTCTGATGCGGGTATCAGATATTGGGTGTGAAATCAAAACATCCTTAAACTATATATATCTCAAAATTAATCTACATCTTTAAAGTATTATTTTTAGCAGAAAAGATCCTTTAAGTATTTTTAAAAGTGAACAATTTTCATTCTTTTGTTAGTTGTCGTCAAAAAACTGAAGGATCCTACAAAAACATGAGCAGTTGATCTGACTATCAACAAAAGTTTTCCTGCATAATTTAATTACCTGCTCTTAGAAGTTTCTGAAAAAAATATTAAAAACCGTTGCTTACTGAAACAAAAAATATTTGAAAAGGTGTGAGGATACATGAACTACTCTTTTTCTCATTTACTAATGGAAAAAGAATTTTAATTACTTGTTCTAAGAAGTTCCTGAAAAAAATATTAGAAATATTAGACGTCATTGCTTACTAAAACAAAAAATATTTGGAAGGTGTGACGATACGTGGTCTGCACTTTTTTCTCATTTAATAATGAAAAAAAGCTGGAGCTTAATAATCTTTACTATTTTTAAAGCCAAGTTGTATTTAGATCAATAAGTTTTTGAATCAATTTGATATTGAAGTGATCAAAATATTTATTATATCTCATATTTGAGTTTCATTCTACATTATTAGAACTGAAAGTCACGAACAAACGTTGCTTCTAACATATTCAATTGAGAAGAAAGATATTTCAACTAATAAAAGATTTTTGACAATGCTAAACTCAATTATCAAAAAAGTTCACAATAATATTTTTGACGTATCTAAGAATAGTAATTACGAAGGAATGACTTAATTTTTATGAAATCTGTTAGTTTTTTGATAAATTCAAGTAGAATGATGAAAATTGTTACGTTTAAATATTTGAAGGATATTTTCTGCTAAAGAATAATATTTTAACAATGTAATTTAAATTTAAGACATAAAACATTAGACATTTTCTAGATATATAATCTTATAAACACCTAAAAGATATATGTACTAAACTAGGACTTTTCTAGATATTCTTACAAATACCTAAAAGACATATGTACTAAACTAGGCCTTTTATAGAATAGTCTTATAAATACCTTAGTAGCAAGTACTATAGTCATAATGTAAGTGAAGTTAGTAGAAGTGTACTTATCTTTAAAGAGAATCATTGATTATGAAATCAAGTAGAGTAAGTAAAGATGAATTGTATTCCTCCATCTCTCTTTGAGAAAGAATTTGAATAAATGTGAGTGTTTCTCCTTCCAAAATCAATGGCTTATTGAGTGATGTTATGTGAAAATACAATACATGTGAATTGTGATGTTATTTATGTGAGTTTTGGTACTCATTAAGCTCGTTTCTAGTCATTTATCATGTGTTTCGAATTCAAGTAGAATACCATCTGTTTTTATTTATATTTGTCGTTATTAAATATAAATGGTTCTTAATATTTGTCATTTCACAAAACCAATACATAAGTAATACTATTGAATTTGATCAACCTAGGAAAACTGAATGATTAGTTCATGTCCACTGATTAATTTAATCAAACAAAATAAACTAATATATTTTCATATATTAAAATTTTGACTTCAGGAGAACACTAAATAAAAATACAATAATAAATTTATCTAATTTCTTAAAAACGTGAATTTAAAATGGTGACATATAAATCGGAATGAAGAGAGTATGAGATGGAGCTAGATTGTGGTTCCATTATGATAACACTCCCTCTGTCTCTAGTTACTGTCTACTTTTGAATTGACACACTTATTAAGAAAATAATTATTGATACAGTGAGTTATCATTTTACCCCTATTAATTAGTAGATGATTAAAAACTTAAAATTTTCAAGAAGTTTTACCTTTTTTAAAGTAAGAAAGTGAGGGTATAATATGTAAAAAATATTTTGTTTTTTTTTAATTTGTCAAAGCAGATAAGTAATTAGGTTTAACAAAAAAATAATAAACAAGTAATTAGGGACAAAAAAGGTAATACAGATGTGATATTGGGCTTGTTTTGAAGTCACAATGAAGTGAACATTGGTTTGGTAAATCTCAAATGTCACTAGCTACTAAAAAAACTAAATCTAGCGACATAAATTTTTTATAGGTAAATAACAATTTTTTTTACTAAATTCAATTAACAACTAATTTTTGTTAATAACAAGCAAAATAGTGACAGGCTAACGACGAACGTCGTTGCTAGATACAGTTCTTTTTAGTATTGACTCTTAAACTTTCTTAAATTTTAAAGATTTGTGAAAACATCCAATTTAAAACAAAACACGGAGAGCTAATAGAAATCAACAAAAGAGGCATGTGGGATAAATGAGATTGTCTGCTACATTCGAGTCCTTCAAATTTTAAAAATTAGCTAAAAGTGATTAATTAATATCAAAACATGTCCAAAATTTGATTTGTTTGTATCAACAACTGAGATCTACAAGTGTTATTTTAAGAAAAAGTTGACCAACAAAAATAAAGTTGCCCTAACAACTACTTAAGTTGTTTGACAACTATTCTTAGTTGTTTAAAATAACTAATGAATGCAATCTCGAAACAACTTTTATAGTTGTTGGAAGAAATATTTGGACAGATAAAGAAGTTGTTCCAACAACTTATTATTAGTTCGTTGTCATTTTTATTTAACTGAAAGACGTTTAAAAAAATATATATTTCTTTTAAATGAGAACTTGCTCTCCATTTATATAAAGTAATGGGTGTTGAAATGATTAAAATTATTCTCTTTTTTTTTTCACAAAAGTGAAACAAATAAGAGTTGGAAATGTTATTCGATTTAATATAATGTCGACTTTTGAGGAATTTGGTATATTTAACTACTTGAATATAAATTTTTTTCAAAGTGATAACTATAATGACAATCTATCAAAACTATTTTCAAAATTCCACTTAAATATTGACAAAGCATATTAGAGAAATTTATCTATTTTTTAAAAAATAAATAAATAAATAAAAATATATATAAACTATTTAAAATTTTCTATCCCAATCATGTATTTAGTAATTTTTTTCTAATTTTTATAACTGTGCGCAAAGAGCGACTAAATTTAATATAATATAATTCCAAGAAGTCGTTTTTAAGGAGGCTGGTGGCCTAATTAAAGATCTGTTTGATCTTCTCTACTAATATTCTATATTTATTAAATAATACTATATTCTTTATTACAACGTGACAACCTACCGGTCCAAGATTTTTTTTGTCTTAAAATGTTTCACTTTAAACAGATAATTATAATTATTGTTACAATTTTATCATGAATGACATGAGGTAGTATTTCTTTTTCTTTTTTTCCGCTTGATATTTGATATTCATATTAAAGTTTAACTAGTTAAAATTTATATTGTGTAGAGCTCTCTATTCAAAAGAAAATACGAAATTTTTCATATTTAAAATTTAAATTTGAGACATCTGATTAAGAAAAAAGTGAGATGCACTAGGTTGGTGAGATTTTCTCTTCTTTTGTGACTTGATAAAGTTGTTGTTTTCCATATATATGTGATGTGATGGGAATCTCATTCTGCTCCAGCCAACATTTTGGTAATATAATATCTGCTTAATAAGTACATTTATATATAAATTGTGATATAAATATATATATATGGAGACTCCAGACAAAAGTAAAACAAAGATTTAATATATAATTGATGCGGAGCATCACCATTTGGATACATAGATTTGGTGATATATGAGTCAAAATTAGGTCTAATTTGCTCTATATCTTTTATACATAGACAAATCTCACCCTATTCTATCTTGTTCTTGCTCGCCTATACATATGGTATTACGCTTGCTCATATCATGACTTCTCACAAGCATGCTAAGCTTATGTATTATTTATCCACGTATTAAAATATTTACACGATTTGATTACTTAAATCTAATAAATTGTTCACACTTAACACCAAGCATTAAAAAGATGATTAATTAATTGTTGGATGAATCAAATACAAAGCGTGTAAATGAAAAGCTATCCCCAATTTTACTTTGCCAACGAGAATCTGCTAACATTCTTGTGTCAAGTCTAAACTTTCTGAGCTAATGGATGCACCATAATTTACATATCATTCCCTAAATAAACACTCTTTAAATTTGTATTAGATGGTAACTGCAAAACCTAATTAGAGTCTCGTAATGTTTTACATATACACCCACAAAGAAGAAAGAAAATAGTACAAGATTACTTGCAAAATTGAGTAAAATAGCAAGAACACGACCCGACAGATGATATCATCTGAAAAAACACGAGACAAACAAACGAAAAAGAGAAAGAACTAGTGTGTTTTTGAACTGATTCAAGTGGAAGAAACAAGTTAACAAGATTTGCAGCTCTTTCTACAGCTTCCTGGGAGGTCTGTACTTCCAACCATATATTCTGGGTTCTTGGTGCATTCCCCAAGTGCAGCCCATCTCTCACAATTCTCGTTATGATCAGCACAATGTCCTCCTTCAGAATCCACTGTTTTGTCAAATGAATCCACATGAATCCACTTGGTTGCTGACCACTTCTCACCCTCCATAACAGGGCATCCACCGTGGAGGCTCATAGGATCAGGTACAGCATTTGGATGGAGACTGAAAAAAAGAAGTGCATCTCCTTTTCGTGGTTTAACTAAAACAGAAACAGAAGCAAATGCAGATTAGGTTTTGTAGCAACTGGGAACAATGCAACATTATTGAGCAGTTTGTATTGTAGGCTCACCAGCAATACCCCTCTTTGCACACTCGGACAAACTGTCGTCAGCTGCCATTGACCTACGCCGAGTTGATACCTGTAAGGATAATCAGTTTTTATAGAGAAACATATAACTGATAAACAATGACATTTTTCTATTTACAAAATGAACGGAAAACAATGATTTAGGAAATTGAATCTGGAACTGAGACGAAGAAGCAGATAGCAAAGCAAAGTTACCCTTGCTAATATGAATCAAAAGTCATGTCACGAGGAAGATCTAATCCAATAAAGAGCAAAGAGAAAAGAGATGAATAAAATGAAAGATAAAAGTGACATTAATCACCCCACAGTTCATGAAGTTGCCCACTTGATAGCATGTCTTCCTGAGTGTAATACGTAACAGAAGCAAAAATGCAGCTTTACTATTCTAAAGATACCCTAATTAAGACAACTATATGCCACCACATCAACATGCGCACAACACTTCTGCCCTATTTCTACTCCTACTGCTGCTAAATGCTAGTAGAATGCAAAGGTACCTATTACCATGATGGTATATTTAATTTTGGCTTAAGTCATCTACGGCCACTTAAAGTTGTCCACATATTTCACTTAAACACCTCAACATGTCCATTTTCCTATTAGACACTTCAACCTTACAAAATAAATACCTATCAAACATTTTTCTGACACCTAATTAAAAAATAAAGTGCGTGCAACACACACGCAGTTGATGTGGCAAAATAACAAATTAAATTACGACATGTGGCATTTTAGTTTAATTATCTTAAATAAATGAAATTAAAATACCAAAAAATCTAAATCTAAAAAAAAAAGAGTTTCAACCAGAAAAAAAAGAAAAGAAAAATCCACCTCACCCCACCCACCCCAAACCTCCCCTTCTTCTCTTTCCCTTAAAGATAACCCTTTCCACCATTGTTGTTGTTCATCAAAAAAAAAAGTGGAGATTTTAACATATACTAACTAAGAATTTTTTATTTTTGTTTCTCTTTATCCCGTCTTTTTGTTCCTATTTGGAATTGATATTGTTATTTTTTTACAAAAAATACATTATAATTAATTTTGTTTTCGAATTTTGTTTCTACTTTGTTGTGGAAGAAGAAGGGGTTTTGTATGCGTCTCCATTTTTTCTAGTAAGGAGATGTGGATGATAGCCTTCGTTTTTCCCAGCAAAAAAATATGGATGGTGGTATCCATTTTTTCCGGCCAAAAAGATGTCAAGATATAATTTTAAATCTGAAAAATTAAAACAATGACAAGAAGAAATATGATAAAACAAACATATTAAGGCTTGAAATGTAAGGAATTAGTGATGTTTGGATTTATTATTGCCTTGGAATTCTTATGTTAATGTTGGATTGTTATGAAGAAATAGGAGCAGGGGTGATGCAATTATGAAAAGGAGGATTTGAAAAGATTGTTATTTTTTTAAAAAAAATAATGAGAAAAAAAGTTTGAAAATTTCTGATTAAATGATTCACGCGCTTATTAAGGCGTGAATCTCACTTTTTTGCCACATGTACACAACGTGTTTAAATGGTTCAAATTCAGAACAGTCCAAGTGTTCAATAGGTATAAGTTCTAGTTAAAGTGTTTAAGTGAAATATGTGGACAACTTTAAGGGGCCGTCTATAACTTAAGCCTTTAATTTTTTTATGATTGTTGAAGTGTGTGACCATCTCATCAAAATGCTTAAGTTGTTAGGGGGAGTACATTTTTATTTTTCTTAATCAAGTATCAACACACCCCCTAACGTATAGGCATGATTCTCTTTTCATAGGCCGAACACGTGGGAATTCTTTTTATAGATGGATGGTTGTGATACTCAAACTCACGACCTCTGCCAAATGCAATACCATGTTGAAATGTGTGATCCTTTAACCTAAAAGCTTAAACTGTTCGAGGAGTACACTTTTATTTTCTTAATTAAGTTTCAACACGCCCCCTCACATACAGTCTTGCCTCTCTTTTTTTCATAGGCCAAGCACATGGAAATATTTTTGTTAATGGGTGGGCAGTAAGACTCAAACTCACAACTTCTACCGCTTGATCTCATACTATATTGAAGTGTGTGACCATCTCATCTAAAAGTTTAAGTTGTCATAAAGAGCACATTTTATTTACTTAAATTATGTCTTCAACAGTCCCCCCACATGAACTGACCTGACTTATTTTAGGGTGTCAAAAACATGAAAATTGTTTTTATATAAGGTGGCGGTGAGACTTGAACCCAAGATATTTACTGCTTTGCTACCATGTTAAGAAATGAACTTGGGTTGCAGGAGTGTTAGCGTCCCACATTAATGTAAGATGGGATAAATTTCTTCTTAGTATGTCTTGGACAATCCTCACATCATGAGCTAGCTTTAGAGTTAAGTCAGGCTCAAGCCATTTCTTGACAATGATAAAGTAAAGCACGACATTTATCTTTGATTACGATTTAGGTGAAAAGGAAGGGTGGAGAAAAGCAAAAGAGGTAGCTAAAAATTATTTTCTTTATTGATAAGGAAGTAGAAGAGGATGGGACGCAGAAGTAGAAAGGTCTTTTAGTTTTTCCAGTCACTCTGGAACTGGTTCACAAGGAGGAAATACTTATCTTTTGCTTCCCCTCAAATCCTCCCAAACAATAAGAAGCAAGTGATGAACACCTAACTGAAGGGAAACAAACCAAGGAGCTTCTTATCCTTTGACCTTCCACTCCCCCTCAGAGGCAGACCCAAGTGGTCTCCAGGGGGTTCACCGGCAAAAAATTACTCCGTACATACACAGTAAATTTTCTTCAATAACAAAGAGAAGCTAATGGCGCAGTGGCAAGTCTCCTTGAATTAAGTTGTACGTCACTGGTTCAAATCCTAGTGAAAGCGTTTTACTTTTTCAGTTTCAGTTTTTTTTTAGTTTATTTTTTACTTTTTCAGTTTCAGGTTTTCATTTTTTAGTTTTTTTTTTTACTCTAAAAACGTGTTAAAAGTGTGGTTTAAACCCAAAAAAATTCAAGGTTCCCATTTCTAAAGTCTTATTTACACGTTTTTACTTTCATTTTTCAAAGCCCCTAAACGGAAATCCTGGGTCCGCCACTGCTCCCCCTGGTAGAACCAGATATGCTGAAAAATATCTTTTCATTTTTTTTCTAAAATGTCATCATCATGAATTTCTAGACTAATCTTTGGTTTGAAAGCCTATCTCAAATGATGATATTCAAGGAGACAAAGTAGCATAAAACAAACTCATACATGGCACCTAATAAGCAAAAATATGGTGTATTGTATCAGTGCAAAGGAATAAAAAAAGGTAGAAACACAAACTAACCTCTGCTTCGGGGAAAACAGTTTCACCACCTTTCTCTACATCACTGAGATACATGAGTACAGTGGCTAAACGGTGTCCACCACGAACAATATTAACCTTGTCGGTGAAGTAATCATAGTGTGGCTCATATCTCTGTCCTTCCTCATATCTTAGAACTTGTATGTCTTCTCCATTCTCTGGGGGAGAGAAAAAAGAAATAAGCATCAAACTGAAACCCCTAGACATAGTATGGACCATAAAGAGAGTGAAAGCATCTAAGTCTACAACAACAGATTTTGGAATAAATTTGATTTCATAAAACCACAGCCAAAGATACTAAGTCCTTCAAACAGCACTTTCCTTCTAACATGTTACTTCTCACTGACACCGTGCATTGTTCAATCTTTAGTTTATCTCCTTTTTCAACCAGAGAATCACCTTATATCATATATATCTTTGCACTCACTCTAATATGGTAGGACTGAAAGTTCAGAACTTAACAAAAGATGAATAGTTTAGCAGTATTGTACAAGTATTAGACAGTACATAAGTTAATAAAATTAATACCATCTCTCAATAGAGCACACGGATAAGAAGCATATAAAATCTTGCAATGACCAATAGGTGTGAGAGAGACAGATAAAACAGAATATTAAATTATATGACTAAATGAACAGTGAAACAGAAGGGATAGCTTGGAAAATTATGATTTCATACTTTCTTTGTTTCTTCTACCTGATTATTCTTTTAGCATCACACCATGCAAATTTTTCTTCTAAAGATTATCCAAAACGTTTATAAAACTTAACAAAATTCCAACGCTCCGATCTATTTAAGGATTTATGACGGAGTATATATGGATTGATCAATTACTGATGTTGAATCAATCACCGCAAAATATTTTCTTGAAGTCAGTAAAGAATAGCAATCAAGTATATTTTATTTGTGCCAGACATACTTTACGTGGGAATTAAGAAGAGTCTTCAAATTTGCACTAATTATGGATGGTTTGGTTATCCTAGATTGGGATATCCTTCGGAATAAGTCAGACCTTTAGGTAGAAAAGTCCAAGTCGCTATCTTCTCCTCTATCCCTGTGACAATAGGATCCTGCAGCAAAAAAAAATAAAAAAATAAAGAGCTGACACAATCAAAGATACAGGATTGTAAAATTGTGTATCGAGTAGACAGCAAATGGTTTTTCAAAAAAAAGATCAGTGCCTATGTTACTCAGACTCTTCAAAAATATCTGTGGGTGTGTAGGATTCTCCAGAAGTAGTGTATTTTTGGAGAATCAGACACAAGTGTGACATTGAAAGTGAAGAGTCAGCGCAACTTAGATCAGCGCCATATGTTTCCATCACTATTCGTGCTAATTGCTTAAGGAAGCAGTGACCCATTAAAAGTTTAAAAAATAAATTTCCTACATATTCTGGATCTCTACAACTCATCTGAAACCACTGAATATTGGAAATAATAACAGTTACTATTTTATTAGATGATCACCAAATAATCGTTGTTACATTAATCATTTCTATAGGAGCTATATGTGGGTTTTAGTTACTTATTGTCTTATTCTCATTCACAAAAACAATTTAATTGGAAAAAAAGGTCATTGAATCAAGTAGTAATTCCAAACCGAACAGGTCTCAACAATCTTGTTTCTCAGAGAATTTGTTTTTCTGTGTGCTAGTCGACTATTAATGTCTCTGTGTCTTTCTTCTCCCCTAAGCATGCTAAATTATTTAAAGCAGGTATCATTAGCATCAAATGTATTCTCCCACTCAAAACAGCAAACAGTATTAAGGAAAAAGTAGAAATTTTTGCTTTATTATTTTGACAGAAATGGACCCTTAATTTGATGCATATCTCATACTTTCTAGGAAGAATCAAAAATGGATGTCAAATCCCCAATTGGTTCTCATAAATTGATAAGTTTGACTTAGACTAGTGCTTTTATTCGGACAAACATACAGGCAAGATTTCAACAGTTACAATCAATTATTTATGATTGTAGAGATAGGTTCAACTTATTCTTACTATGTCAAAGTATCCTACTAGGTTAGGAAAGGATTCTAAACGAACTATGACATATACATGTAATAGAACTGTAGATCTTTCCAACTAAGTGCACTAAGAAACATTCCACCAACCAGTTAGTATTGGCCTAGCTGCTGATAGTTTCAGCCTACAGGTCCTCCAGCTTAGAAACACACTCAAAAACTGAAAAAAAGCATGGTGGAAGTAGAAAAAATTAACAAAAATCATTTACCACATAACAAGAATTTCAAACCTTTTCCATGCTTCATACTGTTTCAACACTTAAATATCTTCTCATTTTGGAGAACATCACATCAGTGACATCCTCCTAATCAGCAATCTCACAAACAATATCACCACTTAAAAAATAAAACCAAATGCATGAAAACTCAGCACAGGAAATGTGGAGGCATAGTAAGAATGTTTGAACTATAGAAAATGGGGTCTATATACAAAAGGGCTAATGTTTAAGTTCTAATATTACCATACACCAGAATCAACATAACATTTGGGTCCTGATAAGTTATTGCAAGAATTTCACATAAGAAACAAGCCATTAACTGATCTTTTTAATCATATAACCAGCAGGAAATACAGAGAACTTCTAGTACTTTTCCTTTGTATTCTTATTTACTGTAATGTTGGCCTTAGATGAATTCAATTGGGGAACATAACCTCATATAGCTGAACCCAACTTGTTTGGAACTGAAACAGAGTTGCTGCTATTAACAATTTATTCTTCGGATCTCAAAGTTAAACAGAAGAAGAACATATAACCAGCAGGAAATATAGAGAACTTCTAGTACTTTTCATTTGTATTCTTATTTTCTGTAATGTTGGCCTTAGATGAATTCAATTGGGAAACATAACCCCATATAGCTCAACCCAACTTGTTTGGAACTGAGGCAGAGTTGCTGCTATTAATAATTTATTCTTTGCATCTCAAAGGTAAACAGAAGAATGCAAACAGATGCCCCTAGGGAGCAACTTGCCTTTCTTTCATTCCAATGCTCCTGGAAGAGCCCAATGCTCTTCATTATAAAGCATGTCTTTTTTTGGTATAAACTTCTTAAAAGAACCACCATACTTGTGCACCCGGTGGAGTTATGGATCCATCAACAAAAGGATCTTCTGACCCAGGAATGATCCTCTACCACATTTAAATGATAGAAATTCATAAAACTAGAAATAAACGTCACATTCAGATTTTAAATATTTATGCTTAGTTGCTAACTCATTTTTGCAACTTAGATAAACAATAACACTGTAGTATTTATGAAGTAAATACGATTTAGCAATACGACAATGAGAAGAGTTAAAAAACAAACCTTTGCTTTGCTAATGAACATTCCGGAGCTAGTCCTGACCTCACTAAGCTTACTTTCCCCAGATTCATTATCTGCAACAGCTGATCTCTTCAACTCTTTTTTCGCCTACACCACAATTGACAAATAAGCTCCAACACAAACAGATCTAACAACTTTATCCAACCAAACATAAAATAACATTCTCCAAAAGTATAAATCTAAATAAACACTCACAAGAGATATCAAATGATTACATTCTTCGTCCGTAAGAAAACCTTCATACACAAAAGCTCTGCAAACAGTCACAAATAGCAAACTCTGTAAAACACTACAGCATTACGAAACTCTTCAAAAACTTGGCTTTTTGCCCAAAAATATTGCAACTTTGAAAACTTAGAAAGCGGAAAATGAAGGAATACCTAGCTTTTCATGAAATATGTATAGCTAAATCAAGGAAAATTGGAAAATAAATTCAAAATTGAATATTTTTTCAACTAAAATGTTGCACTTTCTAGCCTTGAAACCAAAAAAATAGTGAAATATCTGTTACCGTGAAAAACATATAGCTAAATGGGCGAGATAATACAATATTACAGGCAAAAGGACAAAATATTGCACTTCCCTTAGCTTTGAAACCAGAAGATAGTGACATACATACATTTCCATGAAAAAACATAAAGCTAAATCAGTGAAATACTACAATGTTGCAGGAAAATCTTAAACCTTGTTCTTTATCCATTTTTTGCACCAATATTGCATTTTCTTAGCTTCAAAAGCAAAAGATCGTCAATCGGTGGACCATTACAACATCACTGAGAAAATAAAATAAAATTGACCTTTTCGTCCTGCAATACTGAACTTTTTCTTAGCTCCAAAATCGGAAAATAGACATAAAATTACAGGGGAAAAAACTCAAAATGTTGAATTCCTATCCGATAACATTGCAATTTTCTGAGGTTTTTGAAGTGGGAAAAGAGTGAAATACCTAGGTTTCCATGAAATTTGCTTGACTTTAGAGGGATTGATGATTGCTGAGCATGATGATTTTGTAACGAACACAACGATCAAGAAGAAGAAGAAAGTGAAGATCTGCGAGAAGATATTCATAATTGAAATTTTCTCGGGAAAATGTTGAAACCAATTCGCGTGAACTGTCAGTTGAATATTCAGCAAATTAAACAGATCGTCGCTATTATTTTATTTCTCTTTTCATCCCTTCTTTGAAAATAAATTGTACCAACTTCCTTAGGAAGCTTTTTCAAAGTTGGATTTCTTGATGTAAATTAAAATTGGGAAAATTACGCAATAAAATAAATTTATATTATTTAATTACTAATTATAGCTATAATTTATTATAATTATTACTCGCGATTAATATTATACATTAATTACGTGAGCTGACTTCGAATTTATATGATTATTCATGTTTGTATATGAATAATTCGCCGGAATATACAAATACATATTTATGATACACAACTATATAATCTATATACATATACAATTCACTTCTCTCCCACTCTCTGCCCTCTCTCGATCGTCTCTCTCCTCCCTCTTCCAATCTCTCTCGCCTCTCGCCTCTCTCTCCCAATCTTGCTTGCCCTATATACAAATGTATATGTATAATAAACAATTAAATACATATATAATTCACCTCTCTCCGCTCTCTGCCCTCTCTAACTCGCCGCTCTCCTCCCTCTTCCAATCTCTCTTGACATATATACAAAATATATATGTATAATATACAATTATCTAACCAATATACATATAGAATTCACCTTTCTCCCACTCTTTTCCCCCTCCCTCTCTCCTCTCTTCCCTCTCTCCAAGTCTTGCTCGCCTCCTCCATATAACATGTAGCTATACATTGTAATTAACAAACTATATCTATAGAGAGTAATTAATTATTTTTAAGTGGCTACATGTAAAAATATCCCATTTAAATTTAGTCAAACTAAAATACAGATACTAAACATCGAGTGGAAAATAAAAAATTAAATTAATTATAATATTGTTCCTCTAGATCGGAATCGTGTTTTTGATATAAACTATGTTATTTTTTCCCAACTTAGAGAATGTTACGTTTATAGAGCGAAATTGTCTAATGGACCTTCGTACTTGTACGCATTTGTATTATGGACCCTTCTACTTAAGTATTTATCCATTGAACCATTAGACTCAATCAAAAGAAGATTTTTAAACTCCTCTTATCATTTATAGTTCACGCGCTCTAAATATACAGGATAAAAATTGGAGACAAGATTTTAGTCTAAAGGCCATGAAGTTATATAATGATTTCAAAATCATTCTACAATGTTGTTAAGTTCAATCTAATGGGTGGCAAGAATTCTCATATTTAAGGATAGAGTAGGTGGTTACACAGTCGGATGGGTTAGCTGGTGAAACTATATCTAAACACAACTTCTAACTTTTAAAAACATTTATAACTTAACATTACATACTGCCCTTCCATTCCAGGACTGGCTCACTCGAAAAATGAAATCTGACAACTTTAGTACGATAATCAACATTGACATTGCATGAGCTAGTCTGTTCATAGCTATAATAACATCAAAATCAACCATGTCTAGCTCGGCTTAATCAGTCTATATATGATGGATGCAAATGATGCCTATAAATCTTGGGTCATCCATTTCATCTGGACCAAGATCCAAGTGCTAAATTAAAACAAGGATGTAATATAAAAATTGGAAGATGTGTATCTGAAATTCTTTCAATAGTGCAAAATAAACAGCTCATTATACACTTTCTCAAAGAAAGAATGTACTATGCATATTTATTTGCTGGTTTACATACATGCAATCTAGTATATCACAAATTCACCTAACATTATATATATATATCTACAGTTCACAGTTCTATGCATTGTCAGTTTCAGTTTCAGTATCTACCTAGTTCAGAAGTTTGTAGATGTATCTAAACAATAATGACGTTAACCGGAGACGAATCACCCTAGAAATGTTGGCATCTCTTTTCTTCCTCAAACATATAGTAGCTGAATATATTCACTGAAGAAAGCTGCTACATACGTTCGCCTGTCAAAACTTGAAAGTACTCTTGAAGCATTACACTTGTTATCTTGATTACTTGCCCCGGTTGGATTAATGTATTCTGTGTTTCTCAAATTCCGTCTTAACTGGTATAGAACAAGCTCCGTGTGTGGTTGCATACATTAACTACAGTATGATCAATCGCATTGAAGATCAATCCTCACTGCTGCTAACAAGGAAAATATCTCTAGTTCTACCTGATCTTACTGGTTTTTGGATTTATCTGTGTAAGGTTTTGTTAGGGTGACTCAAGTAGTGCATCCAACTCTACAGCGCATCTTCGCTTGAGGGGAGGCCACCTTTGAAACTTTTTCTTGCTCTGTAGAATGCCATCAACAGCCACTAACATTTGTTCAACCTGCATTACAACAAAAAACAAGCTTTATGTATTGTTCTGTGATTGTAATCGTTTGTCATTAGATTTTCATTTTGAATGATTATTATAACAAGTTTTGAACATTCTGATTGTTCCATTGCGCATTAGCTACTAAAATGAACATGGAAAAATTTGTAGCAGAAGTCCATATTATCAATATTTATGTTACTATGATATGATCAATATTTGCTAATTTTTCGACTAAAATTCAAGTTTCTTGCCTGGTTCATTGAAGGCCTATCTGTTGAAAATTGCTGTATGCACAATGAGGCAACCATAAGAATCTGATTAAGCTGTTCTAAATCGTATGCATCTCCGAGTGATGGATCAACTATCTCACTATTTTTCTTGTTGAGAAGCAATGGTTTTGCCTGAAAAGTTGATTGGTTTCAGTTGAAGCAATAGGCAATTATATAGTTTTGCATTTGCATTTAACTAGGGAAGGGGTTGAGATGATTACATACCCACATCACAACACTATTACGAGCTTCATCCAAAGCTGGACGTCCAGAAACGATCTCCAACAGTAACACACCAAAAGCATACACATCAGTTTTTTCATCCACAATGCCATGCATAAAAAACTCAGGAGGGAGGTATCTGCCATGAACATGCAAGATGAAAGTTACTACAAAAGGATCTTTTTTCGCATATTTACAATAGGTAAAGCTTAGGTTCCCACAAACCCACCCAAAGGTGCCTTCAACCTGCGATACATTGAGGTGAGTCCACTTATCAGGGAGCCATTTTGCAAGTCCAAAATCAGTTATCTACACAAAACCAAAAGATGAGCAACAAATAGTGCAATTCAATGCGGACAAAACAGAACCTCTACAGTTTGCTTATAGAACTAAGTATTACAGAAGGAGATATTCCGAAATCATAGAAATGAAGTCAGTTTCATGTCATGATGAGTGGTTTGAATATATTAATACCTGAGCCTCAAAATCTTCTGTCAATAATACATTAGCAGCCTTGATATCTCTGTGGATAATACGCCTCTGGCAGCCCTCGTGAAGATATGCAAGACCTGCTGCAGTGCCAACAGCAATATTATACCTTACTTGCCAAGTCAATTTACCCCTGTCATCTGAAAATGTTGCAAACATATTAGAATAAAGTAATTAGTTGTTAGGAGTCCAGAGAAAGCATCGTTTCATAAAAAGAATACTAATGAACATACCACTGAGCATATTGGCTAAGCTTCCATGAGGAGACAAAGGAAGAACAAGGTGCATCCCCCCTTCGACTCCGTAGCCAATTACATTGGCAACATTTGCATGTTTGACATGTACTAAAATTCCTAGCTCAGATAAGTAGTCCGACGTCATTTCCTCTTGGGATCCTCTGGTCAACCTTTTCACTGCCACAGGTTGGCCATCTTTGAGAAGTCCCTTGTATACTTCAGAATAACCTCCCTCACCAATCAAGTTATCTTCCAAAATGACAACAAAAGCTTAGGAATCACAATACAGTTCTACAACATAATACTAAACATATGCAATTCAAACCGAGAGAGATCATAAACAAACTAGCTCGTACTATGAAGATCAAAATCATATATCGGTTTGAAGTTAGCTACCTCCGAGCCAACTGAAATTTGAAAATCTTTTAAAAGAAGAAACTTGCATACCAGAGCTAAAGTTGTTGGTAGCTTGCTTAAGTTCTGTGTGGGAAAAATTCTTCCAGTTAGCTTCAAAGCACTGTTGCAAATCAGCATCTAGAATAGGAGCGGGAAGCATTGGCATGCTACGTCGTGCACTCCTACTTTTTCTTTTTGATAACATCTTTATGGAAGGTAATGAAGGTAGCGAAGGAATGGTAGGATGGAACGTATGCAACTGTATAGACGGTCCTTTCTTTAGTCTTTTAATGAATCCTTGCCAACCATCTGAATCTGAAGTGCTAGGCTTGGAAGTAGTTGTTTCAGACTGATCTGTCTGATTCTCCGAAGCTTCTCTTATCGACTCCTCACACACTTTATCCTCTTTGATAACTTCTCTAGTAGAATCCTCATCCATATCATGATCTTCCCCCATACTTAGACTTCGAAACTCTAGCATAAATATGTTTTAAAAAAAAAGGTTAGAATATAATTAAACACATGCTATTTAAGATAATACGATGAAAGAAACTAGCATGTTATCACCTTCCGCGGTGAGTGAAATGGAGGAAGCACAAAGTAGTAGCTTGGGTCCAACCTTGAAAAGCTCCTCATCGGACTCTTCTTCATCAACATTATTGCAGGTATTCTCACTGTTAACATAATTTGAGAAGCCAGAGATATAAAGCATAGATGTTAGTACTATATTTAGTTTTTAGAAAATCAAGCAAATATTCCTTAAAACATTTTACAAGCAAGGAAAAGGCTTTTTCCACCATTTCTTTGTCCTGTTTCATTCAAATCTGACTCCTCTATATCATTTCGAAAACTACACTATATATTATCAAAAAAAAAAAATCTAGAAATTCAATGTTGTCAAAAAGAGTAGAGCCATCATCAATATAACAATATTGTTAATGTCTTTCTACCTTTGTTATTGTTAAGGAAGGAGCGTTGCAATTGGTTGACGGTGATCAACGTTACAACAGTCAAACATCTCATCTAACAGATCTGATAAGATGTATGACGATGTAGAGATGAATTCGCACAACATATACAAAAGCACACACATAGAGCCTTATGGGCGCGCGTGACATTGCAAACACATACATTAAGCATCTATAAATGAAAAAAATTTAGAAAACAACATTTCCCCAG